TGAGCTTTGTTAGCTGATTCACGATATCATATTAGCTATTATATAAAGTGAATTATCCTAATCGAAACCTATCAAATATCAAGCAAAAAAGATCATCAAATCATATTTCGAGAATAATTTCTTACGGACTTATCAATGCAAGTCTGATCACTCTTAGGATTGATAGATAAGAAGAGCTAATCATCTTTAACATCCAGAAAAATGTATATCAATTGACAAAAATTTATACAAATTCATTGAATAATAAGTTATTATTATAATACTGACAGTTTTATACAGAAAAAAATGTCAGAATCACAATTCCATACTATACCATCATTAAAATTTTCAGTTCAACAAATAGTGCTGAGTTATAACTGAGCAATGAGTACGGCACGAAGTATTTTCAATCAAGTATCTATTCATTTTTTTAATCTAATCAGCAGAAAAAAAGTGGAGACATGATGCTCTGATCGTAGTTCGAATGATTTTCTAGAACTCCTATCAAACAACTTAAACTTTCTCCAGAACAAGCAATCTTTTAATAAAAAAATCATACACATATTTTTATGAAAATACTAAAAATAACGCATTTTGAGTAACATTATTGTAGACTTTTCAGAAGTTGTTTGTACTTTAAAACCAATATCTTCCTACTAAAGAGGCATGTCTTTTGATCTTTTAAAAAACTATGTAAAGTTTACTTTTGGTCTTTATCTGTTATGATGCATTTTTGGTTTAAGGGGTATGTAATGAAGAATATGAAATATAGAATTTTGTAGAGCAGCTTATCCTTCACCGATTGGTATAATTTGATAATGGATTTCATCAAATTTTTATGTGAATACATTGTCGAAAAGTTATCAAAATCTGTGTTTCTGAGGAATTTCTTTATGTCCTTTCAAACTATGAAACTCATTTCAAAAAGTTAAATTTTTTTACAAATGTCTTGGGCGGTGGTCTCGTGAATGCTCTCTTTTAAGTGTTGCTCATCATCAGCGTATTATTGAATATTTAGTAAACCAATTATTTAGATAAACCAAAAAACAAAAACATAATGATACTCATAGCCTAAAAACAATAAATTGTCATTCATCTAAATTTTCTTGAAATAAAAAAGGCAAGTCTATCTCAGGTTTATTTATGCTGATTTAGTTTTGATGATAATTCTAGCAATTATTTAGACTTGAAATTTTATATCTAAATAATTGGTTTATTATTCAACAACACACTAATGATGACTGACATTTAATATCCTAACATGTCAAAATATTCAATATATATTTTCACATAATAAAAGAAGAACAAGATTAATAAATTTCTTTATGTTGCATTTTTATTAGTAGTTTTGCATAGGATAGAAAGAAAAGTGTGCAAAAAAAAAATTGTGAAGTTGAATGTATAGAAAATGATAGTTATCTGTATAAAAGAGAAAAATCAAATCAATATTCTCATCATATACTTCAGCTATCATTGACAGTCATGTTTCACAAAAGCACTCGAATAGTGAATGAGAAGTAGATATAACTTATTGAGAGATTGATTTGGTTCTTACATAATGAGAAAAGTGACAAGTAACTGATGCTGCTATGCTACATAATGATTTTTGAGGACTTTTCAAAAGAACACAAAACTTGTTTAGCGTGTTCATTGTCTTGACACCATTCTAAAATAAAATAAATATGATATTCGGAATCAACCTCAAAAAATACATTTTAGAGAAATTTTTTTTTCCTACGAAAAACTGATCTCGTTGAAGGGTAACAAGTGATTTTTCGACGGTAAAAGTTTCTTTAAAATGTGTTTGACTCAATGTAATTTTTAACGTTGATTCCGAATGCCACTTTATTTTTGCTGTAAAATCATGTCATAGCAATGAAAGTAGCTAAAAATGTTTTTTTTTTCTTTTCAAAAATCATCTAAAAATCAATATATAATAGAAAAATGTGAATAATGTTTCGTTCCGAAGATAAACTTTTTCTTTCTATTTTGTAAAGGACAAAAAGTTACGTCATATATTAAAAAAAAACTCAGATTGGCATGTTTTGGTTTGAAATGATAGTAGCAAATATATTAGGAAAGAAATTATATGTATTAAATAATAAGTGTTATGAAGACTTTCATATGTCAAACGCTCGAAATTCGTAATATCTTACTAGTCAATATATTATGTGTCCTGAAAATTCGCCCAATCTTAATACGAGTGAACATGTCAGAGTAATATCAAGAATGCAATTATATAAACATGGACCTATCTGAAACTCTTCGATGTTCTGATACTTGTTGACTTCATATAGTAAAGACTGTTAACGATCATCATGCTGCTTATGGATTGCGTTCATTAAATGATGACATTTAAATTTTACTTGATAATATTGATGAATAAAATAATAATTTTATAAAAGAAATTTAATATATTTTTAAAAGAGTATAAACATATTGTTAACGTTAATTTTGACTCAACTCAATAAACAACACATGCAAACACTATTTTAAAAACAAACTGTTACTATTCTATTAGTATGTAATTTCCCAAATGACTTTTATCATATTCTATTTGCTCTATTTATTTCTTTCGTATTATTTTTATGTTTTTTTCATCGTACGTACTCTGAGTATGCGAAAACAATTGATAAGGCAAACATTTTTGTGCATTTACTTATAGATTAATATATTTCGAATAGTTCGTTGAGAGCAAAACAAAAAAAACCCAAGAACAAAAGTGTTGATTTTATGAGAATCTAAACTTGTGATAACGTATGTCAGCATCAATTGATTTCTCTCATCTTGACATATCATCGTTTTCAACAGTAAATAATTCTATTGATGATATCTATTACTGCATCCATAATTTAATTCTTGCTTTTACCTTCAATTTATAGTTGTATATTTTAAACCTTTTCAATAATTAGTTTTGCTAATTCATATAAAATTCTTGAAACTATTCAAATAAATAGATCTTGAATTCATTAAAAATTTTAATAATAAACTAATATTCGTATAAGATTTTTGTCATATTATATATCTTACTATGGACACAAAAAGAAAAAGAATTTTATTATTATTGCTAACATCTGCTTTTTATCACAATATAGCATTATGTATTGTAGATGTTAATTATCTATCAGTTTATTTATCTTATATGCCTATCGCATTCTATGTATCTGTTAAGAGCATCATACTTGTATTTGTGAATGTTTTATTCATTCATTATGACTAAGATTATGTCATATGTTCTCTATGGTTGATTACTATTTTTTTTTATAACAATCAAAAAGAATTAGAATATCAATACATCTATGTCTGTAAATTAGTTTTTTTTCTTTTGTTTGTTTGACCTGCTTCATAAAAATTATATATTAATTTAATTTTCTATCGTCCATCACATAAGAATATATCACGAAATTAATTATACAAGATGAGAAAATCTATCTATATTAACGACATTAATTTTATGTGTTACTTCATCGTGGATGCTTTTATTCTTCTTGTGTTCACTTTTTTTTTCTTCACTGATATGTAATTTTACTTTTATTCTATCAATACTTAACAAAAGAAATAGATGAGTAATTGAAGAAAGAAAAAGTGTCTTTTATTATTTTTAGAAAAAGAAGCAAACATGCACTTAAAGTATACTTTAACTTATCCTAAGTATTGAATTTCATAGTGAAACAATGAATCGAACTATGCAATTTGAATACTCAAAGAAAAAGAGAAGAAAAAAAAAAAATCAAAATGGTCTTAACGAGAATTTTTCTTTTTTTCTTTGAAATAAAATCGTTGCTTATATAAGATTGTTGTTATTGTTGTTATTTAACAATCAAATCCATATTTCTATATTATTTATAAATATTGTTGGTTTTTTTCCTCATTATATCTAAGCTTAACAATGAAAAAAAGTGAAACAAAATCTTTTCTTTAAAAGAAATATGACACTATTCATTGAATGTATTTTCGAAGTTATTCATATATTTCGATTTATTTTGTTTTTTCAAAGTTAGGTTTTTTTGTTTTTAATAATATAACCTTTAGTCTGAATGTTATATCATTAATAGTAGTAATAAAATCTATTAGAAAGAAATTCTAAATATAATATATATTTAAGCTAAGGTCAATGAATGAATATTAAAATAATTAACAAAACTATGTGACTATTTTTAAAAAAAACTAAATGTAATAAACATATACTTGATCAATTTTTATATAGGATATTATAAATCATAAGAAAATTTTAAATGATTATAAATTATTATTTGAATAATTTATGATGAAATAAATTTCATTTCGATATTATTGAATTGTTTCTTTAATGCATCATTTGATATTTAATCAAAGACTAACTTTATAGAACTATGATGACTATTTATTTTTGTTTTTTGAATAAATGTTCTTTTTTTTTTTTTTCTCCTTTCTATGCTCTTTTCTTGGATTTTTATTCGTTCTAAGAAAAGAGAAGAACCAAAGAATTCTTTGTAATATGAGCGTATACATAACGAAGAAGCTCTGACAATGGTAAGAAGAAAAGAAGAAAATGACAATGAAGAAAGACATGTGTTTGTATGCCCCTGACAATTCATAAGCAATACTAGTTGTTATAATAGTAAGTGCAAAAATCTTTTTTATTTCTTTGCATTTCTTACATGAATATGTTACACACTAGGATTCCATCTATAACATTTCTATTGATATTTCTTAACTTTTAGATCAATTACTCATTATAATCACTATATGCTGACATCTAGCCAAAAAATATGATTGATTTAATATAACATTGAAATAAAAATAAAAAAAAATAACGAATACTTAAGTAAGTTAGTTATTTAAAAACTATTTTTTGTTTTTCTACATGCAATTAAAACTATGAAATTGATAAAAAAAAAAAAAAAATCTATCGATTTTTGTTTTTTTTTTCTTTAATGATATATATATATAGTAATGATTCATCATATTTTATTTGTTTTGATCATTTTGATAAATATGTTCTGTTCTTCATTTTTTATTTTTTTTAAGAATATAATGTAATGTTATCTTCTTTTGCAACTGCAACATCATCTTCATCTTCATATGAAACTTCACAATCTTGGTGGAAATTTAATTTTACAACAGATTCTTATGCAGCTTTATCTACAACATTTTTTTCATCATCTGTTTCATTACCACAAGAATCATCAACAATTAACATTATAAAAAAACAAGTGAATAATCATCAATGTAAGTATGTCAAAATAAAATATATTGGCCTCGATTCAACCTGTACATTGATGAAAGTGTATTAGTTTTTTTGCTTTTCGCTCAACTATAATTCATGTCTAAAGTGTATAATATGTACATACTGTATGTGAAGGAGTATGTGACTTACGAAAGAAAGAATAAGAACGAGAAAAAGAACGAGAAAGAAAAAAAAGAATTGATTTCAACTCTCGAATACTTGTTTCGGTAAGGATATATAATACGGACGAACGAATAGTGTCGTGTATTATTTTTTTCTCATAGTGATTCATATGATGTCCTTTGTTTTGAGATATACACATACATATAAATATTAATTTCGTCAAATGATTAGCAACGGAGGTATATAAACCAATTAGATTGCTTAATACTAAGCAGAACAAAAAATTCGAACTATTGACATTTTTGGTTTTTGTTTTTTTGTGATTATTTGTTTAGTATATACAAATGGTTTTACTCATCATGATAATGATGAACCATTACGAATTCTTTTATTTGCTGAAAGTTTTCCATCATTTACAAGTGGTGTAACACGTCGATTTAAAGAAATTATAAGACGTTTAGCTAAAAATCATCATCATATTCATGTTATTACTGGTTGTAAAGTAAGTTGAATTATATTAGACAAAAACAAAAAAAAAAGTGTATAGATTTAAATAGTTTTAAATAGAAAATTTCTTTTTTGTATTTATTTGTTTTTAATATTTATTCAGAATGCTTCGATATGGGTCGAAGGAAATGAATTACTTGACGAATATGTCACATTTTCAATTCTACCATCAACAGATTTTAAAGATAAAATTGATTGTGCTTGTCCATTTCTTTTTCCTAATGTAAGTAAGAATTTGAATAATAATAAAAAACAACGAATATATCTTCTCTTTTGAAGTTTTATTGATTTGTATCAATATAAGACAGATATCACATAAAGTTATTCTAATGTTGATGAATAGTAAAAAAAAAAGAATGATTCATATAGAAATAAAAGAAAAGAAAAAACTCGAATTATTCATGAAGTTTATGCATTTAATCGCAATAAAATAATGATTATATAGGTAGTAGTAAGATTACATTGATATAAATAATAATGCTTCTAATATCTTGTAAATATGAGACAAGAAAAAAAAAAATAATTTTTTACTTCAAAATTCTTAAAAACAATTACTTGTTTTTTTGTTTCGATAAGAAAAACAATATATTGATTTTAGATGTCATAGAATTTATTGCAGTACTTCACAAGAAGAAAAATAATACAAAATAAGAGTTGTTGAGTAACGAAAATATTGTCAAGGTAATCAGCCATTAGAAATTACCGACATCAAAAGAAATAAAATATTTATTTCTACATATAAAACGATGTAATATTGATGCATATTAAAGAGTTTATAAAATAAGAATCAGGTAATTCGGTGCAAAATATTTACTTATAAAACAAAAGATATGTAAATTTATATAGTTTATCTAATAAAATATTGTTATCAGAAAGATAAAACTTTTGAATTATTCAAAATAAGAAAGATAACAGAAAATACTTGTGTTCTTAAATAATGTTCTTATTGAACTCTATGAAAAATACAGTTAATTAGTTTTTTTTTTTTTTCAAATTTTTAATTTAAAGTTTTTTTTCTTCTCAATATAATCATTTGTTTTTAGCCAACAATCTATTCAGTAATTCGTCGATTTTCACCTGATGTTGTTCATATTGTTGAACAAACTCCTGGTGCATTACTTTGTGGTGCATTTTCTCAAGCACTCAATATTCCTATAGTTTGGTCATCACATACAAATATTGACTTTTATTTATTAACATATATTCGTTCTGGAGCTATTAGAATGGCAAGACGTATATATCAATATATACGTTTAAAACATTTATCATATTCATCAATTAATTTAACTGTTAGTAGAGATTTTGCTGATTTTATGGAACATACTGGTGTTCCACATCCTGTTATTGTTTGGAAAACAGGTGTTGATTCTGAATTATTTAATCCCACACGACAGTCACGTTCAATGCGTTATCGTATGTTTGGTACATATAATAATTTTACTGAAGAACAAATGGATTCTATAACATTATTTTTATGTGTTGGTCGAATATCTCCAGAAAAAAATTTTGAATTTTTATCACTTGTATTAGAACGTATTCCAAGTCAAACATTTTTATGTATTATTGGTGATGGTCCATTTCGTAATACAGTTGAACCATTATTTCCTAAAGATCGTGTTTATTTTTTTGGTTATCTTGGTGGTGAAGAATTAGCAAGTGCATATGCAAGTGCTGACTATTTTATATATGCATCTGTTAGTGAAACATTTGGACAAGTTTATTTAGAAGCTATGGCTAGTGGTACACCTGTTATAGCAGCTGAAGGTGGACAATTAAAAGAATTTTTTATTAATGGTGAACATGGTTATTTATGGGAACCAGATAATTTAGATTCAGCTGAAGAAGCTATATGTTTAGCAATGAAAAATCGAGATTATTTATCAATTAAAGCACGACAACAAGCATTAAAACATTCATGGGATGCAGCTAGTAATCAATTAAATGATATTTATTATCAAGCTATTAAAAAACATAATGATAAAGAAAAATATAAAAATAAAAATACAAATACAAATAAATTAAAACATATATGGAATGTATTTTATTATTTTATTATATGGTTATTTTGTAATTCACTTGCATTATTTTTAATGGCACCATTTGTTCGAGTTTTATCACCACAATCGATTGCTACAGAAAAACGTAATAAGAATAATAATAAAAAATCTTTTGAAATAAAACATAATTCTATAATGACAAAGAAATTATCATTTTCTTGATATTGAGTTGAACTTTTTTTTTCCTCTATGTCAGTCTCTCAGGACCAGAAAAAAAAAATATCTATAGACTGATATAGTTTTTTTTTGCTTTCTCATTTCGTTTCTTATAAAAAATAAGAATTTTTCAATCGATTTGTTTTCTTATAATTTTTGTTTGTTTTTTCTTTTGTGATACGTTGTCTATATTCAGATAACAAGAAAGAAAAAACTTCAATATATATTTGACGTATTTAACTTTCTACTCAAAATAAAGATCTACGTAGTTTTTTTGTTTTTTATATTCTTTTATTTCCACTATCTTACGCATGTTTATTTAGGAAAAAGAAAATATCTATAATATTCTTGTTAATGCATGACATATAAAAAAATTTTTGTTTGCTTGTTTCTTTTGTTTTTTTAAACACACTATTATTCTGCTCATTGTGTTTATTTTGTTTTTATTCACAAGAAAAATGAATTCAAGATGATTTATTTCTTATATAAGAAAATAAATATATTTGAATATTATCTGTGTTTATATATAAGAAAACAAAATAATTAATGCAATATATTGAAAATATTTTTTTTTTCTATCATGAAAAAAGAATACTTTACATATTTATGATTAAAAAAAAATATTTTACTAGAATTGATGTTGAAAGAATTAGTATTTTATCTAATATCTTTTAAAAGATTGAATTAAATCTTGTCGAAGTTTGTAGTTATTTTACTACTTAGTATGAGTGTTTGTACTTTCAAAAATACATACTCGCCCTCTTGAAGGTTAAAAAACACTTTTCCGAAAGAGAAGATTTGAATTAACTTCTATTCAAAATTTATTTTTCCATGCGAATGATCTAAACAAATATTGTGCATAAGTATAGTTATTCACTTTACTAAGGAAATATGACTTTGAGAAAAAAAAGGAATATATGTGAAGCGACTCATAAGTAATTTATAATTTATATCCTACCAACAAAAAAAAAAGCCAAGGTCTGGAATTCGTTCTCAATAACTGAAATGTATAATTGACTTCTTCAACACACCGATTTATTAATTTGTTTGTAAAAAATAGTATTTCATATTTGAAATTATAAAACCGAAAAATATTGCTATCTATGCATCAATATAAGATTATTATTGAAAATATCATTTATTTTTATTTTATTTTTAGATGAACATTGAAAAATTATCTGTATGTTTTTTTGCTTTGATTTACTCTTTCTTCAGTGAAGTGAATAAAGATAATCCCAAACCCGTATTTATTTAGATTACTGGTATAGAAAAAATTTTAATTCGAGTTCTATCATTCTACCGTATATTATTAATTTATTCTATTAACACAGATCTATATCTATTATCATATTGTGTTCGATACGAATGAATGTTCTGTTACAAAAAGTGTTTTTTTTAATCTCTAATATGAACTAAATATAGATATAATTACAAAAAAATTAAAAATTTTCATTTATCTTTTATTTTAGCAGAAATCTTTGAATGAATACTAAAAATATAAAATCTACTCATTTTACAAAAAATTCTACGCATCAAACACATAGTGGATCATCCATAAATGCTGTCAAACGTAAAAGTTTCAAGTCGAAATGTGAAAATCAGTGTTCCGAAAAAGGATCATGGTATTATCTTAAAAAATACCATGAAACTACAATATCTTCGCAGCAATAAACGAACATCACAGATTCTTTTCAGTGTATTTATAGGTTTCGATTTTCCACAATTTTTGTTACAAAGATCCTAGTTAATCAAATATGAAGAAGAAAGCTTTTTCAGAATCATTTCATGATTATTGATATTGAAGTTACTCCACAGTACCTTATGAATACGAGCCGAACACATAGACATGGTGACTTACTCAAATATACTCTTATCTCCGATTTATTCGTAGATATTTTGTCATAGAATTCTGAGAATTAATTTTTTTTTAAATCATAAGCAAAACCAATTTAACTCTAAAATCTTATGAAAAATGCTTCAAAACGACAAAAAAAAGTCATAATTAGTCTACAAAATGTTCAGATGCATATGTTACAATACTAATACGATATCAATACATCGGTATTGGTAGACTAACGTTGATACTTTGGATCAAATCTTATGAAGGAAACAATACTATAGTTAAATAAATGTTCTTTGACAAAATATAAAACTTATAAATCTTTCCACATCTAGTAATGTAACTAGCCGGTGATGGTAGCTTGTATTGTATAATTAGTATCAACGTTAGTGTAGCAATATCAGATGGTATTAATATTATGACATGTCTACATC